ATCAAGATAGATAGAGATCAAGATAGATAGAGATCAATATAGATAGAGATCCAGATAGATAGAGATCCAAGATAGATAGAGATCAAGATAGATAGAGATCAAGATAGATAGAGATCAAGATAGATAGAGATCAAGATAGATAGAGATCAAGATAGATAGAGATCAAGATAGATAGAGATCAAGATAGATAGAGATCAAGATAGATAGAGATCAAGATAGATAGAGATCAAGATAGATAGAGATCAAGATAGATAGAGATCAAGATAGATAGAGATCCAAGATAGATAGAGATCCAGATAGATAGAGATCCAGATAGATAGAGATCCAGATAGATAGAGATCGAGATAGATAGAGATCGAGATCGAGATAGAGAGAGAGAGAGAGATAGATATAGAGATATAGATAGATATAGAGATAGAGATAGACATGATATTGATATAGATTTAAATATAGATACAGACATAGATATAGATTTGGATAGAGAGGTAGAGATAGAGACAGAGAGATACAGATAGAGATACATAGAGAGAGAGAGATATATAGACAGAGAGAGATAGAGAGAGAGAGAGAGATAGATAGATAGAAAGATAGAATGATAGCTAGCTAGATAGATGGATACATAGATAGATAGATGGAGATCGAGATAGGTAGAGATCGAGCGAATCGAGATAGAGAGAGAGAGAGAGAGAAAGATAGATATTGAGATCAAGATAGAGATGGAGATAGAGATAGATATAGACATAGATCTAGAAATAGAGATAGAGATAGGTATGGAGATAGATATGATATAGATATAGAGATAGATATGATGTAGATATAGATATAGATGTAGATATAGATATAGAGATATATATAGATAGAGATCTAGATTTAGATATAGATATAGAGATATAGATAGAGATCTAGATGTAGATATAGAGATATAGATAGAGATAGAGATGGATATAGGGGTAGATATGATATAGATATAGAGATATAGATATAGATATAGCTATAGATATAGAGAGAGAGATATATATATATAGAGAGAGAGATATACATAGATATAGATATAGAGATAGATATAGAGATGAATATAGATATAGATTTAGATATAGAGATAGAGATAGAGATAGAGAGATAGAGATAGAGAGATAGAGAGAGAGATATATATATATATAGAGATAGAGAGATAGATAGATAGATAGACAGACAGACAGACAGATAGATAGATAGATAGAGATCAAGATAAGTAGAGATCGAGATAGGTAGAGATCGAGATAGGTAGAGATCGAGATCAAGATAGAGAGAGAGGAATAGAGATAGAGATAGAGATATAGATAGATAGATAGATAGATAGATAGATAGATAGATAGATAGATAGATAGATAGATAGATAGATAGATAGATAGGTAGGTAGGTAGGTAGATAGATAGATAGATAGCGATCCAGACCGAGATAGAGATAGAGAGATAGAGATAGAGAGATAGAGAGATAGAGAGATAGAGAGAGATAGAGATATAGAGATAGAGATAGATATAATATGATATGGATATAAATATAGAAAGAGATATAACGAGATTTAGATATAGATATAGATATAGATACAAATATTAGATATAGATATAGATATAGAAAGATATATATATATAGATAGAGAGAGAGAGATATAGATATAGATATAGAGAGAGATATAGAGAGAAATATAGATATAGATATAGATAAAGATATAGATATACATATAGATATGGAGATAGATATAGATATAAAAATAAAAATAAATATAGATATAGAATGATATAGATATAGAAGGAGATATATATATATAGATATATAGATATAGATAAAAATTTAGATATAGATATAGATATAGAGAGAGCTATAGAGAGATATATAGATATAGATATAGATATAGATATAGATGTAGATATAGATATAGATATAGATATAGAGAGAGATATAGAGAGAGATATATAGAGAGAGATATATATAGAGAGAGAGATATATAGAGAGAGAGAGATATATAGATATATATAGAGAGATATAGAGATAGATATAGATATAGCTGTATATATAGATATAGAGATGGATATAGATATAGATATAAATATGGATATAGAGATAGATATAGATATAGATATACATATAGATATAGATATAGAGATAGATATAGATATTAGATATAGATATTAGATATTAGATATAGATATAGATAGGGTTGTGCCTGTGTGTCTTTGTGCATGTTAATGTTTATCTATATATCCATGTCATCGTGTGTATTCCTGGGCATTGGGCATCCAGCAAAGCCCTTTGCGACTCCATGGGATCTGATCCGTTGCGGAACTGACGAAGGAGATCCTCCCTTGTTGCTGACATGTGCCATGGTCAAAGTCATGATATGGTCTATGGTCATCCCATGCCATGGAAATCCAGAAGTAATTGCTATGGAAATCCCTATAAAATCAGGTTTGATGACCCTCCCCGTTGATGGAAAACAACCCATCTTTTGACACCTTGGTTTCTTAATCCCATGCCACAGGTCCCATCTGCCAAATCCTCAGCGTTTTCGCCCTTCAGATACCTAGCGAGTCATGGCCGGCTGCATGTGGTTCCAGGGAAGTTACCTAGCGGTTCCCTCTGAAATGGGGTGTCCTGGGCTACCCCGAAATGTCTCTTGTACTGAGAAAACGATGAACAACTTTGGGATTTTGGGGGTACCAAGTAATGGGTACAAACCCAACTATGGGGATAAACCCTGCCAAAAAAATCATCTCAAAATTCAGAATTCTGGGACCCTTTCACCAAATTGGAAAACATTGCAATAGAATTTAGGTAAATTCAATGGATGTGAACAAGCACCGCGGTCAGGAAATCGAAGGTTTTGATCCTTCCCTATACAACACAGCCTGACAAGCTTGGCTGGTTTTCCGGTTTTTAGAGGGATCTTCAAGATGCATGGTACAGTCCACTGCTTGGAAAAACATTACATAGTGACATGTTAAGCGTGAGTTAACCGAGTTAAGTCCCATTCCGAAGCCGTGAGGCTTTTTAACCTCCACAAATGCCACTGATTTCGTGTAGCCGCCAGCGCGGCCTGAATATAAAGCTGCCATGTCTCTCCGCCATGCGAAAAAATGGGACCCCCAGAATGGGACGAAAACTGAGCTTGAATCAGTCGAGTTTTCTCCAAATTTTCCATACCAAAGGGCCAAGGTTGAAACAGATCCTCGGTTTTGGTCCATAACTCGACTTTGTTTGGAGGTTTCAATGTTTGCACCTTTGCATTGCTTTGAACCAAAGGAGGGCTGCCAAGCTTTTCGCATAAGCACCATTGACGAAAAAGGGGTTGCTTGGCTCTGAGGAGCTAAAATGGAACAAACCGAGGTTGGTCATCTTGTTGCGATTCCCCGTGACTGGTACAGTAGTTTTCAACCCATCCCCAAATAATCCCAAATATGTCAATTTAGGTGATCTGTGAGGAAGATCCCAGATGTTGGCATCTTCAGAATGCTAGAGAAATGGAATATAATGGGGATATCATGGATAGATATCAGCAACAATATGTATGTGTATATATATATATGTATATACAGTATATCTATACCGTAAAATGTATATGTACATATGTACATATGTACATATGTATATATGTATATATGTACATATGTATATATGTACATATGTATATATGTACATATGTATATATGTATATATGTTTTTATATGTATATATGAATATATGTGTATATGTATATATGTATATGTATGTATATGTATATATGTATCTATGTATATATGTATATATGTATATATGTATATGTCTATATATTATATATGTATATATGTACATATATATATATGTACATATGTCTATGTGTACATATGTATATATGTACATATGTATATATGTATATATGTTTTTATATGTATATGTGTATATATGTGTATATGTATATATGTATGTATATATATATATGTATATATGTATGTATGTATATATGTATATATGTATATATGTATGTATGTATATATGTATATATGTATGTATGTATATATGTTTGTATGTATATATGTATGTATGTATATATGTATATACACATGTATATATGTACATATGTCTATATGTATATGTATATGTATATATCTGTAAATATGTATGTATATGTAATATATACATATGTATATGTATATAAATGTATATATATATGTATACATCTATACATGTACATTTGTATACATGTATGTATATATATATGTATACATCTATACATGTGTATTTGTATACATGTATATGTATATATGTGTGTAAATATATTTGTGTGTGTAAATATATGTATGCATATATGTATATGTTTATATGTATATATGTATATGTTTATATGTAAAGATGTACATGTTTATATGTATATATCTGTATATATACATATATATATGTATAAATGTATAGATGTATAAATGTATAAATGTATATGTATATGATATGTATACGTATAATACGTATACGTATTTGTATTTGTGTATGCATATATATATATATATACGTACATATATATATATATACATGTGTATATTATGTATATTTATATGTATAGTTATGTTTATATTTATATGTATATGGAAAAAATATTGTAATTCACCAGCCTGAATTAATGCCATGTTGGGGATAGTTGTCCCAATCCTAACCATCAATATCCAGAACAATAATGTTGCCAGGGTGTTCTGATGTTTGTTTATGGCATTGAACATCGAATTGAATTTGGGAGCAACTACTTCTGTCTATGTTTGGTAGAGCGAAGCCCTGAAGATGACACGACTGTTTTTGCAAGTATGTTCCACCGGACTGCCCACCTCCCTTCCTCTTTGCAGATACCAACATTCTCACCGGGTTGGTTGAAAATTGAGAGGAAACCATGTTTTTCCTATCAAAAACTGCTGGAGTCCCCGGAAGCTGATCTGGATTCCAACGACCTCAACAGATTTTTTTTGCCACCTCCCACATTGCACTCTCCGCGGGGCTCCGCGTCAGAGGAGCACGTCAAAGCCAATGCTGAGCAATAAACCAATGTATAGCCAAACAGAAACTGTCCAGCCCTGCGGCGAGGCGCTTGGGAACTTCCGGATGGGGCGGTTTGAATCAATAGTAAGGACTGCAACGTACTATCAGCAAATGGTGTTTTTTGATAAAAATCAGTCTTGTGGCCTAAATCGATTCTAGATTCTGGATAAAACACAACTTCTGCAGCACGGACTATTCTTGACTGTCCACCAACCACCTCTTGTGTAGCTTGGAACGGTCATCTAAAAAGCAAGTAGCTTGAAACATCCTACGAAACACCGCAAATCAGCAGTGTTCTGAATGTTCACTTTTTCCCCTGCTTTCCAGCCCCAAAAACCATGGGAACTGTCCACCTGCCTCGCTTTCTTCCTTTTCATGCGCCTTTTTGGGTGAGGTGCTAGCAATCAAACGTGGCTGGAAAATCTCCGAACTCAATGGAGGTTTATAGGGAAAAACATCTATATATATATATTTGTAATAGGGTTTTTCTTTCCATTGCCCCGTTAGATTACTGGAGGGCAATCAGTCCAGATCATGATGGGAAAGCGAAAGAGTGTTTCTCTCGATTCTAAACCGAAATCGACAAGCGGTTGGTAAATGGGGCCGTTTCCCAAACATGGTGTACTTGGGGTGCAGTTCCAGATTTCAGTGGTTCTATAACCATACTGATATGGGTTTATCCATTTATATCCTTTTATATCCCATATGGAGTTTATCTCCGTAGTTATACTCAGTCTTTGTTCACCCCAACTGCACCCCCAGTTCCGTTCGACTTCATCCCACGTTTCCTTCTGGGATGATGGCCCCAGGGCCGAAGGATCTCATCAACCGGAATTTTGCAGTGTTTTTTCACCAACTGGAGTTTTGAAACTACGAATGTCACCATAATGAGAATGATGATAATAATGATATCATAATAATCATCATCATCATCATCAACTATATATCCCCATATCTTCGATGCTTAAAAGCCCCGTCAAAGCATGATGGTCAAATTCCCAAAGCAGCAGTCCTTCCAGGCCCCCTGAACACCGCCTCCAACAGAAGCTCCTCCAACACCAGGAACAGAAGCGCCTGGGAAACTTCGCACCCCGCAAACCCTGGTGATATCATGACATACACAATATATCACATGTGTCCGAAATTATATATATATATATATCCGTATACACTATATATATATATATTATGTACTACTATATATATATAATATGTGTATAAACTCCATACATTATATACTGACCATATGTATACTATATTACATATATATATATATACATCCCACGGTCCACAGTGAAAACATCAAAGCCCCATCGCCACTGAGCTTCCGGGCAGCCATCGCAAAGGCCTCAGGGGTGTTTTGAATGCCACCCAAACGAAATGGTTCAGTATTGGATCTATTCATTTTTGGGTTCCTTATTGGAGGTATTGACATCGTGAGTGGGATGTTTGAAAATTACTTTCTTCGAGTTATCCCCACCATGAAACACTATTCTGACATAGTTTCTGACATGTCATCTGGAAGTATATATATATATATATGGCATAGTTATTCTCACACTCTATCCGACATTCTTTCTGGCATATACTTTGCAATTCTATCTGACATTCTATCTGGCATCTATTCTGACATTCTACCTGGCATCTATTCTGACATTCTTTCTGGCATTCTATCTGATATTCTCTCTGGCAGTCTCACTGTAGCTTGAATACGTTCAGAGCTCCCAAAGGTTCCACTGCAAAACCCTCGGTGCAAAGAAGCGATTGTGTTTATCAATGTTGTAAATCCAATGACAAACCATACCAGTTGGCAATCTCTTTTTGCGCCGAAGACCTGGACATGTTCTTGACTCTACCACCCGCAGCTCCCAGGTTTCCCCACAATGAGCCCGCAGAACACTGGAGTGGATTTCGCCTGGCGAAAACCCAGGGAATTCCCAGCAGTTCCCAGCCACTTCCCAGTTCCCAGCTGCCGTCCTCATAAGCACCCTGAAAGGCCAAGATGGAGGTCAACATCATGGTAAGTGGAGGCGCCTGGCTGCCCATGAAGTGGTTACTGAGAAGACTGCTCATATGTACATAGAATTATATAAAGTTATATATTATATAGATATATTATAATATTATGATATATTATGATATATTCTGATAATATTATGATAATATTATATAATAATATAGATACATCTATGTGTATTTACAGCAAACGACTCTGATCCTTTGATCTCAATGATTCGGCACAAGGCTCCAGCCGATAGAATCACCACTGCCACCCAAGGGCGTCGAAGGGCCTGGCTCAGTTTGAGATCTCCCAGATCCATGGGAAAACTTTGGTCCAGAAATGGGTGACTTAGCACCTGAGCCAAAAATCCAAAAGCTGCTGCAATTTGCAACATGACCCCCATTGTTTGCCAAAAAACAACCCAAAAAATCGGCCGTCGTGGGTATTTCGCCCTTTTCGAGACCCCAGAAAAACTGCCATTTGGGCCATCCCCACCTCCATCCCCATGGGTATGGGTCAATTTTTTAAAAAGAACCATAGACCCACAGATTTCATCAATGTTTAATACTAACATGTAATGTAAATATTAACATGTATTAACTATCCAAAGTTTGGGTGCCCAATTCAGATGCCATCCCCCTCCTTGGTCAACGAGCAGGCAAAGGAGTAGCCCAAAAAGCCCATCTCGATCGCCGTGGCAATGGCCTGTGCCATATTTTGCACCAACAGAAAGGGGAGATTTAAGATGGGTCAAGCATGAAAATGTCGGATTGTTGCACGATGTTTCCCTGATTTCAGCATCACAGCTGGGAATTTCACACATGAATCATGGATATGGATCGGTTGGAAATGGTGGATACTCCACATTATGGCATTTAGGAGAGAAAATGATGAGAATCCACGGGGGTTGGGGGTAACAATTTTGAGACATAGCCATTTACAACTCCAGAGCTGAAGTGGGACGGCTGGTTGGAAAGTCCATCCAACCCCTTTGTTTTGCACCAGGATCACCATGATAACCGGAGTATAACGGAGTTGAATCCTCTTGTAAATTTTGCAGTCAATGGAACATAGTATGTTTGAATATGTCTCCATGTATGAAGAATATTGAATAATTGTGCCTGTAAAAAGAAGATGTCCGAGAGTGTATCCCCAAACTTAGCATTTGCAAACAGCAACTTACTCCATGGGATCGGATTTCAGCAGACCGCTGGACCCCTAAGTCCCACATGTTTCAACCATTCCCCCACAATGAACAAGCCTTTTTGGGCTGTCACACCATACCAGATATATCAGCATTTCAAGTGATGTTTGAACTGTTTAAGACCCCAACAAATCGGGAAATATCTCAAAGCCCCTGAAAAAGAAGTAACGATGGACCTGTTTGGTGACCTACCATCCTACCCTTTGCAGCACATGCCACACTTGGTTCCGGACCATGAGAAATCCACTTCCCTTAGAGGCCGCTTAGGAACAAAAAGCCAGAAATGTGTGTGTCCCCATAAATTTCTTTCTTCTGAGGCAAACCAACAGCTTTTTAATGTTGTTTTTTCCATGGGATTTCCATGGGATTTTGATGGATCTTGGGGACTTGGGGCTGTCCCAAGGTTCTCCCGTGGCTCCCTTGGCTCCCAACACGCGCCACGGATCCCGCCAGGCCGATGAGCATCCCTGACTGGTCATCCAAGTCATCCCATGAACAGTATGGGACATAATCCCATTGAGGCTTAAGGGATTATTCCACATAATCCCACAACAATATCACTATGGGATCTATGGGATTCTTCCACAGTATGGAGGGGGCAAATTCATTTATGGGACAACTAAGCATCCCCGGACCATTTTTTTGAACACCCCCTAAATGGATCCCAAGACGGCAACATTTGGGGTACTCATATTTTCAGACAAAGCCACAGAACAAACCCATCGGAATAGCCCATCAATTCTTCCGAATAGGAATCTCTGTTTGAATAGGGAGACTGATAATTTATCATAATCCAGAATGTTCAGACAAACCCATATGCCATATGGGTATAGGTCAAAATTGGGTACCCCAATAATTCGCTGGTTAAAATTAAACATAGTTGGACCACAGTCGACAGCTATGGCGCCAGACCATCCACGCCACTATCCACCACAACAGCCAGGATCATGCCGAAAGGCACCTCAAACGGGTGAAGATTCAGATGCCTCTTGGTTTTTTTTTTGGGACTTCATGGGGGGATTTCATGGGGAAACCAAGCATCTTTATCTGGCGAACTGGATTCAAACCCCTGGATTTGTGCGGTTGTCACACCAAAATAGTTGGGATTTATGGATGTTCGTCCCCCAAGTCGTATGGCATTGTAGGTGTTGATTTATCTCCATATGGGCAAAACGGGCCAAGATTTCGTTGTTGTCTTTTTGTTATAAGTTACTGTTACTGTATGATTCAAAAAAAGTTCTCGTGCATTGGGCATGCTTTATTCTGCTAGAGTAGTAAACAAGCTGATTTCTGTGGCCTAGATACCATGGTTGGGTGTAAAGAAGTGGCTGGATCAGCCATCCTGAGCTTACCAAGTGCCAAAGCACAGGGTTTTCTTTTGTTGCCTAGCAAATTGTTTCCGAAAAAGAAGATGTTTTACGTCCATTGCTATAAGTTCTGTTTCTGGTGGTATCTGTCTGGTTTTCTCTGAACTCTGTCCTGACTCATCTGACCGGCAAGATCTCAACCATGGACGCCCGCAGGGTCGTCAAAACTTGGGCTACCCCTAAGATCCCATGGTTTGGAAGCCGAAAAATTGGCCGATTCTGCGGCGAATTTATGGGTTAGTCAGTTAGTCCCCCATGTTCAGACACACCCTAGTAAATCCTATTGTGTCTTAGTGATTTCCGATCAAATATTCCCATAAAACATCATAAAACGGGTGGTTTCCCATGAAATGCCCGTATCGCCCTATGATTCTTGGCATTGCAACCGACCCCCAATTTCCGCAAGGTTCCGGACAGGACTCGGCAAGGAGTCTCGACTGGCCTACGGGGATTTTTAAGTAGCAATGATCATGACTTTAGCAACAAATATAGGAAGCTTGTATGTTACTTATTTTCAACTGTTCTTGCTTTCTGTTGATTTACAACTAGGCCAAGCGATAGGTTTGTGGTGGATATATGAAGAGTTACATGGGATCATAAACAAACAAATACAACTGGCGGGCCCCTCCTTGTACTGACACAATCGGACACTTGGTTGAAACGGCGGCTATAATAAGGATTCTAATGAGGATACCCTCTGGTGATCAAACTTGGCAGAACTTGCTATTGGGAAATCATCTATGATTGGATATTCATAGAACAAGTCCCATTGCGAGGATAAATTACCTGAAGACAAACCCTGTAAAGATGTGTAATATGAACCAGTAGTGATACTCTTCTCTATGATCTACTTACAATGTTATACAGTATGCAGTGGCCACTGGATACCGTCACCGTAAGAATCATTGGAAGTTGTGCTTTCAATACGCCTTAACAACTGAGGGATGTGCATGCCGTATGATGGCTTGATATGGCTTAATGACCCATAGTATGGTCAGTTCCAAGCGAACATTCACCAAGGTCTTCTTTGAGATTGGGATCTCCCCATGCATGGGGCAACATTCAGGAGCCAAGCCACAGATCTGTGTCATGTCTTAAAACTCAAAAGTGTTTGGGACCCATTTTGGGACACCCAATTCAATTACCGGTGTATGCGTACTTGTGTAACTCCCATGTTTGATACTTGACCAGTGTCAAATTCCTATAGGAAAACCCAAAGATACTTGCTTTTCATCCAGTTCGTGGATCATCATCTCTGATTCACAAATCAAGGTCAGTAACACTAGTAACTATGTAACCCTTCTTTCACTTTCACCGGCGTTAGAAAGGTCTGTGCCTTGCAGCCAACATGCAACGCTCTCAAATTAGGGCGCCAAAAGCCTCAACCCTGATAGTCTGGAAGCCAGATCGCTTCGGATCGGATTGCCGCGCAATTGGCGGCTACATCCTTGATCCACGCTAAAAGGGGAGGCGGCAGTGCACAAGATTCACGTACCAGCCGAGCGCAATGCTGGCGCTGAAGCTGGGACGCAATGGCCTGTGCTAGGCCGGCAGATAGCCTACGGGGGTACTCCTTATGGATGGCGGTTTTGAAAAGACCAGCTTCATCAACCCCAATTGCTGCAGACGTAGGCCTCGTAGGACAGGGATCCGCATGGGTGAACAGATCCCGGATGAAGTATGGCATCCGCAGGGTCAGCAGGCCCGTAGGCTTGACTGAAGCAGCTCCAAAGCGCCATTGGGCAATTTCATGAAAGTGCACATCAGGATGTTGCCTGAAAATGTTCATGAGAGCGCTCTTCCAAATCGATGGATGATGGGGCTGTCGGGGCAAACCTGGGTGCTCTTCGATATAAATACCTCCAAAAACCAGATGGCATGCAAGCGTCCAGAGCGTCTGCAAAAAGAATGCACTTCCTGCTTGTGTCTGGCGTAGTTCACGCATCCTGCGATGATCAAGTCCAAACAACTGCAGCGCCGTCCGCAAAGGTCGCGGCCATCTTTGATGCTGGAGCTCCGGCGGAGGCTCAGTCCATCTTGCCGAGGAAAAAGTCTCACAAGGGTGGCCAGAGATCGTCGCCGATACAAAGCCAGACAAATAGGCCTCCTGCAGCTGGGCCCAAGTGTCTGACCTTTGGTCTAGATTGCCCAAGACTGGCGAAATAGCCGTGTCGAGGGACAAAATAGTAAGGGCAAAATTTCGCCTCCGTGCCCAAGATTCAAGCCAGCTGTGGATGTCATGATCACGTCGGCGTCCAGCAAAGAGATGCACAACCAAAAATGATGGTCGGGGTTCAAGGCCGGGAATGATGGGCGTCAATGGGTCTTGTGGCAAGTCCTTCCACCGGACATTTCCAAGATCAGCTTGCCACTTCTCTTGTTCAGCAAACAACCTGGGAACCTCGAGCTGCGGTACTGACCTGGGTTTGCTATCCTTCTGTGGAGGCCGCACAGGCCGGTGTGGCAGCGGTGCCGGTTGCTCCTGTTGTGCAGTTTCAATCTGCCGGTCGATGCGGCGCAGTCGAGCTTCTTGCCAATACTCGTCAAACTCTGCCGCAAGCTCCGCATACTCTGCATCAAGGAAGGATTCTGCTTCTCCATCAACCAACTCTGCAATGATGTCAGGAAGGACATGGCGCCCCCAAAGGATAAACACTCGCGCTGTCCAAGATTCAAATTCAGTAGGGAGCTTGCACAGGATGTCAATCCATCGATCTTGAGGGCGCTCCGTCTCTGAAAACTGGAAATTGGCATGGCGGAAGTCTTCAAACCATCTGTAGGTGGCCGCAGTGAGAATGGCGCCCAAACGTTCTCCTGCACCCGCCGGATCAGCCGGCTGCACATAACTCTGAATCTCGGCCTCAAGTTGAAGCTTGCAAGATCTCAGGGCAGCAAGGTGACGCTCCTTAGCGGTGGGACCACTTCCAAAAGGGCCAGCTGTCGGTAGGGCGTCAAGGCGTGACTGTCCGTGCATAACCTTGGGGATGTGCTCCGCTGAGTAGGAGACTGTGTAGCCAATCTGCTGGAGATATGCAAAACAGGGATTGGGTGTCCCATTACGCGGCATATAGGAAAGGTGTTGCTGGAGACGTTGTGTACTCTGGTGATCAAACTTGGCAGAACTTGCTATTGGGAAATCATCTATGATTGGATATTCATAGAACAAGTCCCATTGCGAGGATAAATTACCTGAAGACAAACCCTGTAAAGATGTGTAATATGAACCAGTAGTGATACTCTTCTCTATGATCTACTTACAATGTTATACAGTATGCAGTGGCCACTGGATACCGTCACCGTAAGAATCATTGGAAGTTGTGCTTTCGATACGCCTTAACAACTGAGGGATGTGCATGCCGTATGATGGCTTGATATGGCTTAATGACCCATAGTATGGTCAGTTCCAAGCGAACATTCACCAAGGTCTTCTTTGAGATTGGGATCTCCCCATGCATGGGGCAACATTCAGGAGCCAAGCCACAGATCTGTGTCATGTCTTAAAACTCAAAAGTGTTTGGGACCCATTTTGGGACACCCAATTCAATTACCGGTGTATGCGTACTTGTGTAACTCCCATGTTTGATACTTGACCAGTGTCAAATTCCTATAGGAAAACCCAAAGATACTTGCTTTTCATCCAGTTCGTGGATCATCATCTCCGATTCACAAATCAAGGTCAGTAACACTAGTAACTATGTAACCCCCCCAAATAAAAAAAAAAACACTTCATTCAGCTGAAACTGTTCACTCAAAATCCACATGAGCAGCCTTCAGAAACCTTTGTAATTCCACGAAAATTGGTTGTGAAAGGAGTAATTGGGGATTCGCAGTTCATGGATTACATCCCCAATTGTTCACGGATCATCGACCAATCGTCATTTTCCAAGTATATCTCATGAAAAACTATAGACATATTCCCAGATCAATCATATCAATCATTGGCGATTATATAAAAACATTAAAACACTTTTAAAAACATATGATATAAACATCTTCCCATATCAATCAATACTTAAAAGACATAAAGACATATGATGTAGCCATATTATTCCCATATCAAACATGCTAATCATAGTTAAACCCACATTAAAACTATATTTTTGGCCGCTCCCCCGAACCGTTTCGGACCACGGCGCCTCGCCCTCCTCCACGGTGGGCAAGGGCCTCACCTCCCGTTGCGGAGGGTGCCAGCGCCGAAAGGTCGCACCTCGTCGTTCGTTGGTGAACGCTTCATCTTTTCCATCTGTTCCCCATGTGTTTTCGAGCGACTAGATGTGTTTAGATGTGGTTGACTAGATGTGTTTGGTGGTTGGTGACTCGATGAAACAAACTTGGAGGATCATCCCACTGGCTAGTGGACTAGTGGGCAAGCTACTTGTGGGATTGACCCTAGGGGACTTATCCTCCAAGTCGTGGTTTACCCTTGTGAAATATGAGTGAGCCACCCCAAAACTTCCCGGATCGGGAAACATAGCGACCTCAGATCTGTTTGAGCAACACGCTAATTTCAAACGTGGTTGAACCCCCTGGATGCTCCTCAATGGGGATCATCATGTTGTCTTGTTGTGTACTGCCGTTGCTGGCTTGAAACCACCAACCAAGCGTTGAGATAATGAGGATTTACGCAAGAATAATGGTGGCAGCCTCAAGAAAAGTGGTGGAACCAATATTTTTTCGGAAATCTTGCGATTCCATCAGAATGGTCCATGCCTAAAAATGGTGATTTGATTTTTTGAGCCATGGCCAAGTCGCCCCATGTTCGTAAGGTCTGATCCAATCATGGCATGTACTGTACAGTAATTATGGTTTGCAATAGGATTTCTTTGGCGATGTCGTAAACTGCATCACTGCAAGGTGGACAGCTATATATCTGTGGCGCTACCCCTGAAAGCCAAAGAGTTTGAATCATTTTCCCTGAAAAAGAATGTTTCTGAGTGGAGCCCCATAAAACTGTTGGAAAAAAAATCCCCATTAAATGGCCATGAACACCACTTCTCACCCTTTCCGTAGATCTTAAAAAAGGGCCCCCGAACGCTCCGCATGCGAGTGGATGTGACGTACGCACGCCTCAAATAGGCCGCTAAGTAGGTCTGAGACCAGCAATTTTACTGGGTCGGTTTGAAAGAAACTTGACCAAAAAGAATGATAAAAAATTAAAACAATGGGTTCTAAACGGATCTAAACGGTTGGTCCTGGTATACTCAAGTTCAATGCACTGTTTTCTTTGGTTTTTCAAGAAATAGTTCAGTTCTTGGAGACAAGGGGAGCCGGTTACCAGCGGACCAATGCCGAGGAGTTGGTTAGCAAACGTGGCTCGTCGGGAAAATCCCCCATGTTCCATGGAAAATCCCGGCAAGAAACCTCCATTGTTGATCCAGAATTGTCCATTGCTACGTTTGATTACCAGACAGTGTATATATATATATGTATATATGTATATATATATACAATGCATATCCAATTTGTTTATACAGATGTATGTGGACTTCTAAAGTAATCAAATACTTGATTCATAAAGTGATGATCCAGTCGATATCACAACCAACAACGACGACAACAACGACAACGACAACGACGACAACATTTACAAATAGATACTGCTAGAATAAAAACACTAATGATAACAATAAAAATCACAATAAATAAAACAATTATTCTTACATATCATGTGCTTGGGAAAGCGAATTCGTAGCTCCATCTGGGTCCCCGCTTTTCTTTGGACTACGCATATGTCTGAAAATGGTGTAAACCCCGAACAACATTGAATAACCATTTAAATAGGGATAACTGGATAATGCTTAGTGGATATAGAGGCACCCCATTTTCAGACAAGCCTACATATAACTCGCAATGATTATACCGAGCCACAGCGGTTGATTTCAATTCCTGGTCCACCGCGGCTGGGTATCTCAGGTCCAAATGCCTTGGTGGTGTCAAGCCGCGGCAGGGTTTTAGAATTCTTCATTGAGATACAGTAATTGGGGCTTGATATGGCTTGATGGGGTATGTGAATAGACCTGAGATCAGGTGGATAGGATGAAAAGCTGGATAATACCTGAAAATGGGAGTCATGGCTTGTGGTTGTGATTGTTCTTGGGGATTTCCACAGAAAGATCCTGACGTTGAACGGAATGTAAAGCGAAGTGAAACTAAGCATTGCACCGCACCTTGGGACACCCTCAGAGTCATTGCCATAACTATCCCGATTCACCCCGCCACGCGAACCGCTGATATCAAAGTCCTAAATCACGTGGACTCATCAATAGAAAGTACAATGCTCCAGTTCTGAAATAAATAGAAAGTTCCCACAATATAAATTCTTTCATCACTCGCCGATCCCAATTTCATACTTCATTTACTTGACCCTTGAATCCTCTGGCTAACCAAGCTAAAGACACGGAATGTCGACAAAAACCTTCCCTTTCCTCATATTTCCATCATAAAACCCATGGAAAAATGGTGACTTGGGCCCCCCAACTGTAACCGCTCAATGCCAGCCACCAACTGCGACCTGGGCGTGGATCAATCGGCCAAATGGGTGGCGAAATGGAGGATCCCCAAGTCACCATGGTTGTTTCAATACTCAAATGGTCATCCGTGACTTGGAGGATTTGGGGGTATCACCTTTTTAGGAAACCTCCACATAAGGTTCATGATACCCCTGAAATGAACAAATGATAAGAATCCGAAAAAACCTGAAATCCCTTGAGTTTGCTGGTTGTCCCCTAGCCACCATGGTGGTGTCATGTGGCGTCACTGTGAGTTTCCTCTCGCTTCAAAGGATTTTTTGCACCTGGATGACCCAGCCCTTGATGATCCTTGATGGCTACCCAGGATTTGTTGAACTAAGTTTGTTGATCCACCTTTGAAAGCAATTTGACTTGGAAGATTTGACCCATCCTTTCCGCAGGTGCCCCCAGTTTCAATGGAAATAGCATGAAATAGCATGAAACAACCATGTTGGCCACACGTCACGTGAGGGTTCCGGGGGCACCCCATTCGTTCATCCAACTGAATCTCATATTTCTGAGACACAAAACTCCATTTCTGTGGTAGGATCTCTATTTTTCATGTTGAATCCATTCATTCATTATGCTGTTTAGTTTCCCTATGTTCTTAGTTAAACCAATTTTGTTTGCTTAACCCCATGTTTTCGTTGGTTACCCTCTGGTAATTGAACAGTTTGCCATGGATGCGTTCCCCGCGTGTAGACGTTTCACACGTTATTTTCGTGGCCATTTTCTTATTATGGCCGCATTATATCACAAATTTTGCCAGGTAAATACTCATTGTTTGAATAGTTTTCATGGTAAATCACAATTTTCCATAGCAAACTGTTTGATCTCCAGAGGCTACCTGAGGTACACTGAAATGATTTCGATGAAAATCCCATGAAAATCCAATGAAACCAGCAGTTTTAACAGGAAAGTCCCGAGCAAAGCACCTAACCGGCAACGGTTGTGATGGTGAAATCCCCCTGTTTCTCTTCCCATTGCCGTCGTTGCCGCAACCGAGTCCTCCGGGCACATGGTGCCGCAGGCGATTGGCATTGCGCGGTTCAATGGGTTCGGCGCCGCGACCTCACCAGGGAAAATCACAAGACGAGTTACAGGTCTTAGCATGATGAGGTTGTTGGCAATTATTCTACCAATGGTAATTACATGTCTCGAAAATTATTTAGAATTATAGGTTGTGGATGGTTATGGAAATAAATCTAAATCACCATTGCCAATAATGGTTGGCACCACCATTCATCAATCATCACCATAAATCACCAATGAAAATGAGAATTGAAACCCAACAAAACATGGAATCGAGAATGGGAAATGATTAGTAGACCTCAAAATCCAAACATGGTTCTTTTTCCTAACCACAATAAGAAAGGGGTCGAACATGGGGCATACCTCAAAATTGTGTGGAAAGTGAGGTTCCAAACCATGGGATTTCAACAATAATACATTGAAAATATTGTGAAAATGGTTTAGAAATCCCAAAATCTTCTGAAAGTGGTTTTAGCTATTTGTCATCATCCATAAAATGAGGAGAAGAATAACGAGAGGACCGTAAAAACAATCCATGATAACAGCAACAACAACAACAACAATAACACCAACAACACCAACAACAGTAATAATAACAACAACAACAACAACAACAGTAATAACCATCATATGCTCAAAAAAATAACCAGGGATCACCGCCTTGAGAGGGCAGTAAAAGTATGACGACAGCTATGTTCATGTCTTTGTGGAGGGTGCGGTTTTCACCCTGGTCCACGTCATGTATACGTATATATTATTCATATGCATTTTTTCCATGGCATGTGAGTGGAAACTCGTGCCCTTGCATGCGGACCAGCAGATGTTCATATCGGCTGGTAGTCCGGCATCATGCATCCGCCATCCAGGCAGGAGGCAAGTGCCACAAAATCAAATAGCTTCGGATCGGCTTCTTGTGGGCGGTTGTCTAGCTGCAACCTTGCCATGCGATCACTGAAGCACAGCGCAAAAGCTCGCGAGAGCGCGCTAGGATACTCCTTCGCTTTGGAAGTTCTGAAATGCCCCTCAGCATCACGTCCCAGCAGCGGCGTATCAGGCTTGACCACGTCGCTGAGCTCGCAGCGTTCCAACGCTGAAGGCAGTGCTCCATTGCTGTATAACAGCATCGTGGGTTTCACTCCGGCGGCGCCAAAGCGCCATTGGTGAATGGTCACTCGACGGAAAGGTACTCCCCCACGAAGCAAAAGGCGCAAAATGCCACTCCTCCATATCGATGGAAGCTCCGCGTCATATGGCATGGCCGGATGTTCCAAAGCTGCTGAGCCAGAATGATAAGTCACTGCCACCGCCAGCCAAATGCCTTTCAGAAGAAGGCAATTTCCCACGCTAAGCTGCAAGAGCTCAGACAAGGTGCGAAGCGGCATGCCCCATAGCTCAGCAGCTGTCCTAAGAGGACGAGGACCACGGCGACCTTCGTCCTGGAGGACATGGTTCCTAGCCGCTGACCATGTCTCACACGGGGGGCCAAGGAGAAGCCCAAGCAACCTGCCAGCTCGCGCACAATCCAGCAAATGATTCCAGAGCTCAGGGCTGTGGATGTTCATGGTATGGTGGATGGCCGTGTCAATCGAGATGACATAGGTGCAGCCCCGCAATCGCGAGTGGTTCTCGTCCAAATACTTCTCCATCCAAAACTGAAAATCCTGTTCACGCCGTCTGCCCGAATAGAGGTGCACAACGTAATATGGACCTTCTGGAGAAATCGCACGCATAGTGGGGCGCGTATGGAAGACCCATGTCTGACGAATCTTCTCGGTTTGGGCCATCATCTGATACTCCGAAGGGATGTCATGAGCTCGGTTATACGGTCTGCTGGTCACCGGCACAGGTGGAGGACCAAAGTCTGGATAATCAGAAGGCAAATGCATCCATCGATCTGTGAGCACCTTCATTCGCTGTCGTATCTGCCACGTGGGGAGTTCCTCCAGCATGGCAACGTAGGCTCGTTCAAGAAGGAGCGCCTCGTCCGGATCAATGTCAGGCAAGCAGTCATCATACATGTGTTTCTCAACCCAATGTATGAACAAACGACAGCGCTGCGAATCAGCAAGATCCAGGGTAAAAAGAGCTCCAAACATGTGATTCTGAAAGTCCACTTCATTGGGGTGCTCCAGAGTCATCCATGCATGTAGGGCATCGCGAAGGGCTGCATTGGCACACTGCACAAGAGGTTCATCATCATGTGGAAACCACCAGGCATGCTCAGATGCACCTTCGGCTCGGAGGGCAGTGATTGCTTGCTTCAACTGGATGCGCAACCGTTGCACACTCGTAGGACGTAGGGGACCGTGATGTCGACGTACAGCCGGAAGGCGCTTGACTCGTTGAAGATGATCAGGTAGCCCAATATTGACAGGGTCATCAGGTTGGCGAGCCAGAAAGATACGATCCCAACATCCATTACGTCGGTAGCGCAAGTGCTGTGTGACACGAAAGGTCGTGTGATGATCCTTCAAACAGCCTGGGCAAATAGTGGACTGCACATATTGCCGTTCTTGTGCAACGACCCCATGTTGTCGAAAGGCATGAAGCGCAAGCTGCTGGAGAGAAGGGAAGCAAGAGGTGCACATACTGCATCGAAATGTGTCAATGTTCTCCGCAGGGGCGTCCTCCTCGCAATAAAGCTGCCCACCAAATATCTCCAGCTCACGCACGATGTGATTGTGAAAATGTTTGACTTCCCATGCAAGCTTCTCTTGCAGCATTTGTTTCTGGCATGCACGTTGGACAGCCGATTTCCATGGCTTCCACGCTGCAAGCAATGGCCAGAATTCAATCCACATTGCCTCTGTAGTGGGAGGCGGAAATGGCAAATCAATCAAGGTTGACATCCATGTGAGCTCTTGTGCAACTTCATGTAGCCATCCTTTGCCTGTGGCATACTCAGCGTGGAGAAGGCGAAGGTGCACAGGAAGTCCATGTCGGGCCACATGTTGTAAATAAACCAATCGATGTCGAGCCCAATGCAAACGAAAGGGCATGACACCATAGGTTGCAATAAACGCATCATCTGACATGCCATCTTCCTTCCAAAAACCACAATTGTGAATGCTTCGGTGGTGTTTGATGATCATGGCCTCGAGCTGCTTGAGAAGTGGCGCCGGAACATCGCTCCAAACCGAGCATCCATAGAGCAATCTGGTAAGAACAAGGCTGTTGTACAGCTTGACCCGGGCATCTGGCGCAAGAGCTCGATTGCCAAAAATGGCTTTCCGCATCTCCACGAAAGCCTGTTTCGCCATTCCAATACGGCTGACAATCTCCTCAGCAATGTCCAAATCCATAGTGTATCGCGCTCCAAGGTGACGATAAGATGGGACCACCCGAATGGATAGCACATGGGTTGGAGTTGTGGTAACCAGCTTCGGAGGCAGCTCCGTGTCGAAGAGTTCAGAGCGACATCTGTTGGCATTCTTCCCACGAAACATCATGACCACTTCCGTCTTGCCTTTCTGCATATTGAGAGAGAGGCCATACCTCTGGAAGAGCGTGTGCAGAGTGGCTGTCACCTCCTGCACCAGAGGTTGAAGGAGATCAGGCTGCTGTGTCGCTAACGGCACTGCCAAGTCATCAACCCAGGTCACTGGGGGCACCTGGACACCAAGAGCATCATGGCCTTGGCAGTACGCAGCACAGGAGGATAGCTGGTCCTGAAGTTGCTTCACCAGTTCAGCCATCAGGAGGTTGAATCCAATATCAGCCAGCGGGGAGCCAGGGCGTGTTCCCCTTCTCGTCTCAGTGGCCAAAGATCCACGGTGATGAAGCTGAAACCATGTATTGCAATGCACATCCGCAAGGCATCGGCGAAGCGCCGGTGGAATATCATCAGGCTGTTGCTGCGTTGCATGTCGCAGCTCCTCCGCCAGCATCTGTAAATCAAAGTCAAGCGGCTCCAAGACTTTACGAAGCTCATCGAAGTTCATGGGGGCATCATCATTGAATACAAATTCTCGTAGAAGATGGTGAAAGGCAGATCTGAGGTCCACAAAGATCACAGCTGTAGACATCTTCTTGGCTTTGCCCAATCTCCCATGTAAACGAAGCAGCTGGATCCCCGATACCGTCTGCTGAGACGGGAGCCCACCTAGCTGGCCAAGCGCTCTCCGACTCATCATCGTGGGGAGCAGGCGGCGCCTCAGCCATGCATGGTACACCTTACCAAAGGTCTCGCTGAGGAGAATCCCACGATAGGATTCAGCTCTGTTTTGAGGTCCTTTCTGCTTCCAAATGGGGATGAGGAAGCCCCCTTTGAATCGACACGGTTCAATGGCTGAGAGAAAGGCCTTGAGCATGACTTCATGAAGGTGTGGTGAAAGAGCCGCCGCGCCATATCGACAGACATTGGATGAAAGGCCGTCAGGGCCCGGTGCCTTGTTCGGACGTTGACGTAGACATAGGTCTTCTGTTTCAGCAAGTGTGGGAAGCTCTCGCAAATCAACATAGGTGACCTGAGGCAGCTGGTGTACATTGCGTGTGTTGCGCGAGATGCACTTGTCACGGATCTCATGCATTGGAAGCGTGGTGCCTGCTTCAAGCTTCTCAAAATGTTGGATCATTTCATCACCAAGGTCAAAACGTTGAACTGCAGAGCGAAGGCGATTTTTGGGCAAGACTGCCTTGATACGTCGCCATAGTGCAGTGAGTCCTTCGACAGTGTAGGTATTGGCTGCTTGCTGGGCCAATGCCGTGTAATAGGCCGCATCCTCACGTCGAATGGCAGCTGTGACCTGATTGGTGGTCTTTCGAAGCATGTTCATGGTGACGGCAACGGCATGGTCGTTGAGCTTGATCCATTCATGTGCAGCAGCGTCACTGAGAGGTTGGCGCCATGCTCCAAAGAGAATTTGTAGGATGGTGAAAGAGCGCGTTTTCTTCAAGGCCCTCATCTGCTTGAAGAGCAGTTTCTTGTGGCATACCAATTGCCATGTTTCATCACTCAAATGAGTTTTCCGTGGTTGTCGTCGTGAAGAAGGTTGAATGCTCCGAATGGCTCTTTGCGACTCCAGGGCCAAAGCATCAGC